GGATACACTCTCTTGTTTGATTTATTTTTAGCATAAATGCCCATTTGTACGTATAAAGAATAAATGTGTGCATTATCCAAGTCAAAAACAAGCTAAAAAACTCTTGATATATTCTAAAAATATCTTATAAAAAAATATAAAAACTTTTACCACCATTTCACATTACTAAACATGATAAGTGTAAAACTGGGTGTGTGAAAATGTAACATGAAACATCTCGAGAAAAAATATGTCAAGTAATCATATTTTTATCATTGTGTGTGTGTCTGTATGAAAACTATATATGAATCTGTGTGATATAATCAAGCCTGATATACCAAAAAATAATATGCAATCTGAATCAATCTGTGTAAAAGTACAGTATATATACTGTATGCTATGTATATGTATATATATATATAGTATATATATATTATATATATATATATATATATGTGTATATATATAATATGTATATATATATTGTGTGTATATATATAGGTGTGTATACTATATATATATATATAATATATATATATATATAATATATATACCACATATATATATACACACATATATAAATACATATGATATGTGTGTGTGTGTGTGTGTGTGTGTGTATGTGTGGTGGTGTTGTGTGTGTTTGTGTGGTGTGTATATATATTATATTATATATATAATATATATATATATATATATATATATATATATATATATTCGAAGTTTTTTTAATTTTTCAAAGAATACAAAAAGGAAAATTTTGTTTTGTTTTTTTCAAAAATTTAAAAAGAAGAAAATCTAAAAAACCAACCGTAATGGTCTTATCAAAACCCTAGAATTGTCTCCTCTAATTTATCTCTTTGAATCATGTATAGTCTTTAATCAATTAGGAAAGAGATATGCTAAACGTGGTAGAAGTTGGGGATCAAAAGGAATGACGAACGGCGATGATTAAATCATCAAATCTGCAATGAGTCGATTTAACCATCAATGGTTGCTCATGACCATCGATGGGTCCCTAAGTACCATCGATGGGTTTCTATGAACCATTGATGAGCTAAAATCTTATCTATGGAATTATGCAATTTGTTCTTGTAGACCATCGATGACCTTGTACCCATTGATGGTTCGATGGCTGAAATCAGCGTTTGTGCTGATTTTCGTGTTGTTTCGCCTCGTACACACCTTATACATGTATTCAGCTGCAATATATCATCTCAAACAAATATTAGTACTAAATGAGAGTTTGTTATTACTCAAATAATAGCTATTGTACGGACTATGTCCTAACATAACCATGAATTTCACTGATCATGTTTATGAGCATTTCAAATATTTGTTACGGTAACTTTATTGTCTCATTTATCATTGCTCCCTCTCCACACCTATAAATAGGATGGCATCAGATGTTGTGGCAATACACAAAAAAAAGGATAGAAGCAAAAGAAAAGTACTTTGTTTCTACTATACCCCTTATATGTTTTAATAATTTTCCTTATTATCATTTGGCAATTTGTAGCATTCTTTTGAGCATGGAGAGCCCATCTCTCATGCATTGTGGGTGGCCGACTTCTCGGGGATTACTTTACCGCTAGCAAGCAGATTGTTGGAGTGCATGCACGAATTCGCCATCTGACTTTCTAGATTGTTGGAAATATATTTAATAAAGCAGAAATTATATTTAAAAAAATTATATTTAATAATTCCCTTATTAAATATTTAAATGCATGATATATATCACTTGTTGCCTGTAGATGTATATGTGACTTAAATTCTATTTATATCTTAAGATGAAATATTATTTTATCCTATATTTTTGTCTCGTGCAAATATATTATTTATCCCATATGCGGAGTGTTATCTACATTGCCTTTTGTACTTGCATGGTAAAATCTCTTAAAGAGAATATGAACATAAAATGGTTACTAAAGCCAAATATGACCCTAGATTTTCAAAGTCCTATTAGACAAATGGTCTTTCTAATAATGCAATCCTAGTATCGTCGAGGTGGATCGGGTTAAGCCCATATAGGAGATCACCACCAGTGGGAACCCAACCTTCAATGTGGTAGAAACAAGTAGGACTGTTAATTCTCGTGTGGAGCATTGAACCATGGAGTTTATACTCCTATTTATAGTATTAGATGCATTTATAACTTGCACTGTAACTTTCTATTACCCCATGCCTATGATCTTATGATGACACTACTCTAGGAATGCAGTTCCTAGTATCATTGAAGGGGATGGGGTTAATGCCATAAGAAAATTACTGACAGTGGGAATAAATCCAACCTTCAGGTATGCAAATTGTTCCCTTGAAGAAGTTCAATGTGCTATGAACAAGTTGGACTGATGATTCTCGTGTGGAGCACTAAACCATGAGTTTATACTCCCATTTGTAGCATAAGGTGCATTTATGACTTGCACTATAACTTGCTACTACCCCATGCTTATGATGACAATGCTCTTAACATGTGATCGGCTAGGATGAGTTATTCTCTTAATAAGTCCAATGCACGATTTGTGGAGAGGTCATTTCCAGTCGCAGACATCCTTGGAGGACTTCCTCCATGTAGGCCGCTGTTGTAGGACACGTGACTGATCCTTATTAACTCTCATGAGACGGTATTTGTGAGCACGGTCATTATAGCTCCCATCTGCTTACTCAATGAACAAATGCATAGTGTGTACTTTGTCAATATCTGATAAAGGGGCCTACTTCAAGGTTAGCCCATTATGTTCCTCAACTTGCCACAAAGTGTTACCAAGTGTAGGTCCAAAGCCGAAAACTAGCTATGCTGATTGCGTAGTATAAGATTGTCCAATATGCGTATTATATAGATATTTATGTTTCTCATTGTTTTATGTTCTCTAAAATTCAGCCTTTAGGGGGAGGACTGTTGGATATTTTATATTTATGAAAAGATTTGAGTTTTCATCATCTTTTATTTTCTCATAAGTTTGTACAATAAAATAATGGTTTAATGATTATTAATTTGACAATAACCATGGTTTTAATTGACCATGTTTATGAGCATTTCAAATATTTGTAACGGTAACTTTATGGTCTCATCATCATTTTCTCATTATCATCACGTCCTCATCCTCTCCGCACCTATAAATAGGATGCCAGGAGAGGTTGTTTTACTAAAAAAAAGTTCTTTGTTTCTACTATCTCTTATATATTTTCATAGTTTTTCTTATTATCATTGGGCAATTTGAAGCATTTGCTAGAGCATAGAGAACCCATTGCTCATGCGCTCTAGGTGGCCCACTTTTCGGGGGTTATTTTACCGCTAGCGAGCAGTCAGGCTGTATTGCCTGCACGAACGCATTGTCTGATTTTCTAGTGCAACGTGACAACACGACTGTCCCTGGCTGGTCTTATTGTCTTCTAATTTTAATTAAGTAATTTATTTACAAAGTTTAAATGCTATGCTAATCTAAAAACGGAATTATTAAATATAATTTTGCTTTTATATTTCTGCTCTATTAAATATATTTCCAACATAATACACTGAAACTGTAAAGCTATTCTGACATGACTCCACTTTACTGTAGAAGTGTATGTGGTGCATAATGTTAACGTGCAAACAACGAGCTCTAGCCCTCCCATTTTATAAATTTACCAAGTCTTAGATCTCTGTATCGGTATCAGTATTAGTATAGGCCGATGATCAATGGTATTAGTTCCAGATATTTTGGAGCTTCAACAGTTTCGGATCGGAAGTATCAGATGTAGGTATTAGGATTTTCGACAATTTCGCACGAGCTCTGCACATTGTTTCTTTATAATCAAATAAAATTTTGCAATTATAAACATGAGATTTCCTTTTATATTCATCTTATTAGCCAACGTCAACATGCATAAGTTATATTATCCAATATCGATGGTATCATTAGCTTTTGGCTAGAATCAGTATGCTTAAATATGACATGATAAAGTCGATACATAGTGGTATCAGCTGATACTTCAAATCATGATTTCTACCCTTTCAAGCTGGTGAAAAAGGGAAATGTTTGATGAGGCTGATACCATTTATTCTTTGCTTCATCATACAATTTTAATTTTAATTAAGATGAACATGGATAAGACTTCATTAGCTTTCTGATATGGATGAATGGAACTTGGCAAGGACTCTGTCGACTACTTACATTCTTATCATGAATTTGTGATCTGCATAGACGAAGTAAGTACAATAAGCATCTCCATACCAAATATATGGCACAAATATTAATGTACAAATTAATCTATTCCTATTTGTTTCATGCAACATAGTGTTTGGCCTTTGATAAACCCCAGTACACAATCTTCTATTAAATTGTAAACGTATTTTCACTCTTTCTTTTGTATTATTCAGCTTTTTAAGCTTAACTACAGAAACTCCCATAAAGTTTTTATAATAGGGTCAAACAGCAGTGAATATTAATTCCAATAGGCTCTAAAGTACATAACCCATATACCAAAACTCCGAAGTTGTGGTGAGGGTTGAGGGCTATTGTTTTATATTCTAGCACGTGCTTGCAGCTAGAGCGCTCTTTTTATGAACTGAAAACCTGGACTCACATAGTATTGCCAATTCTTAGCAATCTCGCTTTAAATTCGTGGCCGGTGGGATTTAAACCTTGGTTGCTCTGATGCCATCTTAAAATACCTAACGATTACACCCCACCCCGTAGTTGTGGTGAGGGTTGAGGTTTATTGCTTTATATTGTAAGTGTAAAAGAAATAAAGACAGATAAGGAGAAAGAATTTATGCAAAATTCTAGTGCCTAAAAACATTTTTTTCCCAACAAATACAAAATTTGACAGCTATAAAGTCATAGGAGGATATGAAAAGAATTATGGTTTGAGCTATAGTAAGATCCTTGGCAAACAAGGTTGTCGATCCAAAGTACTTGGATTTTAGTCCTGATAGATAACTATGAATGTCTTAAGTCCATTATTATCAAATTGAATTTAGAACCGTTTTCCTGCTCTTTTCCAGTATCTTATTAGTTTCAATTGCCTTCTGGTATCAGATCTTTACTAGTCGCCAATGCTGGTGACTGCCGAGCAGTACTCTCTCGTCTCGGTTCAGCCATAGAAATGTCCAAAGATCACAGGCCTTGCTGCCTCAAAGAAAGAAAACGCATTGAATCCCTTGGAGGCTATATCGATGATGGATATCTAAATGGCCAACTCGGAGTAACCCGAGCTCTTGGAGACTGGCACATCGAAGGCATGAAAGAGATCAATTCACCGCACGGCCCCCTCAGTGCCGAGCCGGAGCTCAAAATGATAACTCTAACAAAAGACGACGAGTTCTTGATTATAGGCAGTGATGGTTTATTTGATGTGTTCACGAACCAAAACGCAGTAGATTTTGCTCGCAGGAGACTTCAAGAACATAATGATGTGAAAGTTTGTTGCAAGGAATTGGTTGAGGAGGCAATGAGGCGAGGAGCTGTAGATAATTTAACTGTTGTTTTGGTTTGCTTTCACTCGGAGCCTCCGGCGAAAATTATTGTGAATAGATTGAGGGTTCGGAGGAGTATATCGGCTGAAGGGCTGAAGAGCCTTAGATTTCTCTTGGAAGATTGAGTTCATTTGGTTCATCATTCTTGGTCTGGGAGGTATTATGTATATTTATGGTGGGGTAAGTTCCACGAAACACCCTGGAGAAGTTTGGCCCAATTTGAGATAAACCCCAAAAATTTTGGAAGTGTCGTCAACGTCCAAAACTTTTCAAATAACCCCAAAATGTCAGGGTTTACCTGAAAATAGATTCAGAAAAATGCAAAAGTATTGGGGGTTAAGTGACATTTTCCATAACTTTTAGGGGATTACTCAAGATGGGCCAAACTTTTTTTCTTTTTGGCTGGGTTATTAGTGAAATTTACCCTTTTATGTTACTACGATTAGCAACTATATATGTTGATCTATATTCTGAGCTATAAGCTTGCAGAAGCTATTTATGGGTCTGTAAATTAAGGGGAAGAAGTTACGGGAGGTCTGGCTGCGTTGAGGGATTAAGACTTTGGCGGTGTTTCTGTTTGTTTGTCTGTAAATAAGGTGGAATTCTGATGCTGAGAGTGCATCAGTATAGCACTGGACTGTCATTGATCAATTATTCAATTAAGATATCTAATTGTTTATACGTAGATACTTTTGTTGATAAATTCTATCATGATAAAGGAAATTGCATGCTTTTCACACAAAAAAGAAAAAAAATCTTTAGAACATAGAAGTTTTACACTGATATTTATTGAAAGTTAGCAACGTAATATACATGGGTTTTCTAGGTAAAAGCATTGTCGGCTGTCACTAATTTGCTTCGTATGCAGTTTTGATATATTCTCCTGCTTAGCCTAGAGAAGTTGCAGTTTGCAACTATTACCATGTTTGTTTAGTTTGTACATAAGTTTGTAATCTTGTATGATGTAAAGGAGTCCCTGGTCCTCAAGAGTCATGCAAATTGAATTATGGGTAAGTGAGGATAGATCCTTTGTAGTTCTATTTGTGCATATATGTTTTTGGGGTGAATTTTCTTTTGGTTTGACGAGAGAACCTCCCGTGATCCTTCAAATCATGTGTATTAAACCTCCGGCGCCGTTAAGGGGTATCTCCCTATGCATGACAATGGATATTTCAGAAAATTAAATTTATATGAGTGATTTCCAAGAGAGTTGAACTTAATATTGTGGGGTACTACTTATAGGCAGCTTATCAACACAACTAACCCTTTTTGGGTACCTCTATGGTGAATTTTATTGACTAGTAAAAGTGCCAAAAGAAAGTTTTGAGAAGGTGGATAAACCCAATGCAGTTCTATTGGTGAGGATAGATTCTCAATTGATAATCTTTTTTGACTCTTAAAAAATCCCAAAAGTTCATTAATGGAGTCTTTTTGCACTTGAACAAATTGTTAAAGATTTTGTAAAATGTTTTCCAAAACTTGGGCTAAGTTTCAATCCACATATATATTATAGTATGTATTTTCATAACGAAAATGCATTGTAGCTCTGTGATAAAAATCTTTTTGAATAAATCATAGGTCATGGATTGAAGGCTTGCATGTCGACTCATTTAATGTAATAACTCTCCATAAGTTTAATATCCGATTCGGACCGGGGCTTGGGTTCGGGTCGTGGATCGAGGCTAATCGGGCTGAGGTGTTGTGATGATGCAATGGGTGCTTTGTAGGTGTACTTAACATGTTGGCGTCAGTGCGTAGAAATGGCGCCCTATTAGTGCACCGGCAAGAGCAACACAGGCTGCTTCACAACAGTTGATAATGTTAATTGCAATGCAGGCTGTTTCGCAGCTTAGTTTGAGCTAGAGGGTGATTGTTGGGCTTCTAGCTTGAATATATTAAGTGGTTTGGTATGGCCTTAGGACTTCTGAAACGATCTGTTTAATGGGCTCATTAACAAATCCGTTAATGGTGTAGTGGGCTGAGTGGGTGTAATTAACCTGAGCTTTGGGGTGCTCTCATTTATGGGCTGACAACTCTTGTGTTGGATCATACACTATATAAAGTCCTCTAGTCACCACTAGAAAAAGATATAAGCTTTCTCACCTTTCATCTAGAAACTGTAGTTCCTGTTTGAGTTCAATTTTATGCCAGACCAATAAGGTCATAATCCAAAGTCTGACTAAGGAGGTCACCTAGTGCCTAAATTTGATCAAGGTGATCGTTGAGGATCTGGTTGGTGCACTCAAGTTGCTATTCCTGAAAGCAATTTAGTTTTGGGACCATTGCACTGGAGTAAGCTGAATTTTGCTTTAAGTACATCATTTTAGGATGCACAACAACTCAAACCAGATTCAACAGTAAGTATTCAAGAAAAGTTCACATTTTCCCCTTTTGTTTAACATTCTTAAAGCAACATTTTCAGTCTCACAATGGATCCTGTAAGACCTATGTGAATTGACTGTCAGCTTTGACAGAACCGACTTTTATGCATAGCAATGCGAGTTGATCTTTTGGATGCAACTCCTGAAAATTTATTACATTGTCTTAGAAGTCAAGCCGACGTTCAAGGAGGAAAGACACAACCGGTAAAGCAAACTGGGACCGTGATGACACCTTTTATAGAAGTTATCTCCTCAATTGTCTTGCTGGCCAATATTTACATCCACCAAGTCTCTGCAAAGGATATCTGGAGTGCACTAAAGCAGCGGTACAAAGATGAGGAGAAACTTTTCAAAACATATCTCATCGACAAGTTTCTCAACCTCAAAGTTTGAAGATGACAAAGAGGTTTTACCTCAAGTCAAAGAGGTTGAAAAGCTTATCATTAAGTTAAAAGATGAGAAAATTGAGCTTTGCAACGCCTTCATCGCATGTCCCACATCAACAAACTCCCTCTTTCGTGGATGTCTTTCTTAACAGACATTCATATATAGGAAGAAGACACGAGTTTTGCTAGCATACTTGAATAATTTACAAGATTGAGGATGAAATTAGGAATTGCACTAAAAACAAGTTGCTCGCTAAGCAATATGCGTTAACTAGCATGATACCTTGTCACACCTATCCATAGATGCAACAACAACAAAAAGAAGAATTTTAACAAGAAGTTCAACACTGTAAAGATTCTTAATGTGCAAACGAAGGAGGTCCAAAAGAATGGTCAATGCTTCAACTGTGGAAAAAGAGCCACTTTGCAAAGGCATGTAAAGCACCAAAAGAGAATACAAATAACATCAACCATGTTGCTAAAGTTCAGAACTTTGCGGCTATGCTTTTTCAGGTGACAAATTCTCCTAATGCTTTTGAATGGTGGTTAGATACATGTGCTCATGTCATGTTTGTATTGTTAGGAATGTTTTACTTCTTATGTTATTGCTAGTGAAAATATATCAATGGCTAACTGGGATAGTTGTGATAACGCTTACTTTTGGAAAGACTCTTACTCTCAAGAATACGAAGTATGTTCCTTCGATTGCAAAGAATTTAACGTTTGGAAGTCTGCTCGATGATGTTGGAATGTTGCTAGATCTCCAAGGAGTAAAAATTGTCCTATCTTATTAGAAAGTTTATTTTGGCAATTCTTATCACATGGATGGAATGTACAAGATAAGTATTCTAAATTTCCTCAGCTATCAATGAATTTTCTGTTTCCGTGTGCTTCTTTTCTCTTTGTTATTATTAGTTGGTCACGTTGATTATAAAAAAATATTGGACAAATTTTTGAAACCACTTTTTTTTATTTTATTAAGAAAAATCGACTCTCAAGAAAAAAAATGAGCAAAACCAACCCTTTTCAGAAGAAAATGGTTGGTTTTGTAGCCAAAATTTTTTAACGAACTGCACGGGACTAGTAGTCCCGTGCAATAATTCTTGTGACCGATCCCCAACAACCCTCTCTTCTCTTTGTGGCCCTCGTGATCGACCTATCTCCCTCACATGTCTCTCCCTCTCTCCCTCACATGCATCCCACAGCCAACGAATCCCCTCTCTCTCTCTCTCTCTCATATTCTCTCCTCTCCCTTCCCCTAAGAATCACACCCCCACATGCACTCCACACTCCCACGTTCTCCCCAACAGTCCCCTACCAGCAGGCCCCTCACTTCTCTGTCCCCCATGCTCGCTCTCTCCCCTTCATTATCCCACTCCTTCAAATCCACATCATAGCGACCCTCTCCCTCAACACCAGCTCCCCCTTCTCCCCCATTGCCACCTCCACCATGTTGGCCCTATAGTTTTGATGATGATTTGTCAAACAATTTATCGCTAATCTATTCTCTAGTTTTTGTTGTTTTGTTTTTTCTCTTTACAGGTAATTCAACACACGACAATCAAATGATAAAGATTCAAGTTCATGTGTATGCATTCACCTAGGTATAAGTTTAGTTTGCTTACATATATTGTATGTTTATATTTAAGCTCAATATATGAACACTTAACACAGATTTGACGTTTCCTATCATATAAATGATTTTTCATCAAACTTTGTTACAATAGTTTTTATTTTATGTTTACAGCTCATTCACACTTCTTTATATATATATATAATATATGCATGTTACATATATACGTTTTAACAAATCATATCTCAATTTTTATGTTCACGAAAATACAGGTTTTCTGAACACTTTTCAAAAATAGGGAGTTTCCACAAATAAAAATTGATTTTCCAAAAATTCCTTTTTAAACATGTTTATTTCATTATTTAGAAACTTTCCCTAAAGTTTTACTATTTTTGGAATTAATTTGATATTTTTAATGTATTTTTAAAATCAGCCTAAAAATCTATCATATGCCATGTATCAGTTTGCGGTCGACCGTCACGGTCGACCGCCATCAGCAAACTCTCTTAGTATGATTCTTATGTGCTCGCGGTCGACCGTGAAGGTCGACCGTGAATCCATCCAGAGACTTTCGCAGTCGACCGCCAGCTTTCAAATCCTATTCTCAGCTTTTTTGTGCCTCGTGGTCGACCGCGAGATTTCCACGGTCGACTGCCGATCTCATCATTGCCTTTTAACGGCTATTTTCTGCAACGGCTGTCTGAGGCTATTTTGGTCTTTTCTAGTTGGATCTGGCTGATATTTTGAGTGGGTATAAATACCCCATTGCTGTTCTCTTTAAAAAAATTGTTTTAACAAAATCTTAAGTGTGTTTAAAGAGCTGTTTAAGCTGATTCTGATCATCTGTTTTAAAAGAAGTCTGCTACAACAAGAAGAAGCTTTTCATTTCAATTGAGGATCCTATCCTCATCATCCTCTACTGTTCTTCTTGTTTATTGAGAAGTTTTCCTAACTCATCTTTTCATATAGCTTATAATTTTAATTTTATTTTCATATCTTAGCTATATTTATTGAGTTACATATTTTCATTCACTGTTATCACACACACTGTATTGAGCTTAATATTCCATACTATATATTGTGGGTTGTGTAGTGTGATTTAGTGAGTGTGAGCTTCATTTGCGTTCTCATTTGTTATTGAGAACAATATCATTGTATTTAATCATTGTTGTGAGTATCACTTGTAATACACTTGTACACCAAGAGAAGTGTGAGGCGAGAGACGGGGTCGAATCCAATAGGAGTGGTGTCGGTTGACGAACCTAGGGAGAGGTTGCATCCGAGTACTTGAGGAGGAGGACACGGGCTAGGTTCCTACACTTAGTGTGTAAAGTGTGATTGCATA